ATATATATATATATATATATATATAACAAGTTAAAAAAAAAAGTGTCAGTTGGGGACAAAGCAGAATCAGTATCAAAAACAAATGTCATCTTTATATTGATTTGATTCAAGCACAGACTACTTCCACTTCCCAGTACAACCTGCCCATATTGCTCTTGGGAATTCTAACTCTCAGATTACCACTGACCACAATGCTAAAAATATGAATAAACCGTTTTTTTTTTTAAGGCAAAAAACCAATCACAAATTTGAAAATCTGCTATCAATGCCTAATATCATGACACTAAAGAGAAAAATAAAGCTAAAATTAGTTATATCTCATCCACCCCAAATCAGGCTTCCCCTTGTGTCTTTATGCTCACTGCCTACAAGCAGTTGTCCTCATACCAATTATGTTAATACCAACATTACACGCCCTTAAGGAAGGTGGTGTAGCACTTTTCACACAAAATAATTTCAAAATAGACAAAGCTGATAACGGAGGCAAAACAAGAATCACACACCCTCTAGCTCAGTGCAACAATACCCTAGACTCCTCTTTATAAGGCAATATAGTATAATAAAATTTTTAAAGGCAAAAATAAAAGTAATCCTCAACCTAAAATGAACAAAGGTTTAACAGGCATCAGGTAAGTCCTTTCTAACCTTGCCTTTCTCTCACGTTTCATTCACTCACTGAAAAGTTACTGAGTGTCTACTGAATGCATGGTATGTATAGACATAAAAAAGCAAACAATGCGGTCTAGTGACTTCCAGGGGTTAGAAATCAAAGTGACCAATCCCATGGTACTATAGTAAGTCGGACTCGTCTCAACAGTTTTGTGTTTTAAAACAAGAAAGCCCAAAGCTTTGAAATAAATTAATACGTGATGGAATTTCGGGTATCAATGAAATTACCATTACTCGACTGAAGGTACCCGTGTACTTGCAAAAGACCACATGACACCGCCTGTGAACGCATAGGGTTAGGCCTCTTAAGACAGGCGTGCAGCGCTGGAGCTAAAGCGCTTTGGCTGGAGGTGCGGCTGAGTGTAGACGGAGGGCGGATCCTGCCAGGACGAACTACTCAGATTCACATGGAGCAAGGGGCTCATGTAGAGGCAGTTCCTGGACCCGACACTCTGGGGAAGAGACCACTAAACCCGGCCCCTCAAAGCAGAGGTGACCTTGCCCGTCACCAAGAGCGCACACGAGACCCCACCGTAGAAGGTGGATTCGCTGCCGGCTTCCTCCCAGGCCCAAACAACCTCGCCCGGAGCGTCGCTAGCCGCACAGAGCAAGAGCCAGTTTAGCTGCGGGGACCGAGGGGAGCTCCTCCAGCGCCGCTCACCCGCCGCTCGCCGAACAAGTCCCAGCGGCTGCCCTGGGGCTTGACATTGAAGGCGGCGCCCACTGGAGACCAGCTAGTGCTGACCCTTCGGGCCCGGATCCCGGCTCCGAGGCTGCCCCGACCCGCCCGCCCGGGCCACAGAGCCGCTGCTCTGGCTCCGAAGCCGCCCAGCCTTCCGGTGCACAGCATCGTGTCCCCGGAGCAGTCCCCTTCCTCGCCGCGACACCCCTACTCCCGCGCCCCAGCTTTCGCCCGCAGCGCGCGCTCCGCGTTTCCTAGGCAGCGGCTCACGCCGCCCCACGTGACGGCCCCGCTTCCGTGTCGGGGCAAGGGCTCAGGACGTGGGCACGTCGACGTCCAGAGAGCAAGAGCGTCGCTCCCCGACCTTCTCCGCCGCCGTCGCGATGTAGCGCCCCCTGTGTCCCGAGTAAGAAACGGCTAGGGTTGCGTTTCCCTCCCACGAGGCTGGAGGGTTGAGGGAGGGAGCGGCGGGCAAAATCATGACACATTCGAATTCGAATGGACATTGGGATATCTTTACCAGAGGGGAGAGATGGTAGGTGCTCGGGTAAACAAGAAATGCCCACCATAGGCCTTTCCCTTTTAACCTACTCTCGGTAAATTCATCCTGTACTTCTGCCTGGTGTCTCTGTCCGATAACTTGTTTTTTTAAAGACGGGGTTTCACCAGGCTGGTCGGGCTGATCTTGAACTCCAGACCTCAGGTGATCCGCCTGCCTTGGCCTCCAAAGTGCTTGGATTACAGGCTTGAGCCACCACGCCCGGCCCAGTAACTTGTTTTTACTCTTGCATAGCTCATTTGCAAATTTGAGATGGGAAATAGTGAAAGAAGTCTAATGGAATGTTTCCTCCTGGGTTTCAGACTTGCTTGGGACCCATGATCCCTTTTTTCCTCCCCTTTCTCCCTTTTGGAATGGACTGTCTATCCTATGCCTGTTCCCTGCTCCGCCCCCCCCCCCCATGTCTTTTAGAAGCGGATTAACTTGTCTGGTTTCACAGGATCACAGATGGAGAGAAATTTTGCCACAGGATGAATCTCATACTGTAGGTCTCCCCTTAACTTATTTAAATGACGTAGATGGTGAGAAGAGTTGATTTGGAAAGTGTTAAGACTTTCGGAAATGTTGAGATGGGGCAAAAATGCGTTTTGCACACGGGGAGAAAATCAACTTTGGGAACCAGAGAGCAGATTGTTGCAGGTTGAACTGTGTCTCCCAAAAGAGATGCCACCCTCGGTACCTGTACATGTGACCTTATTTGAAAATAGGGAGTTTCCAGATATGATTAAGATGGGTCATACTAGATTAGGGAAGCTGTCCTTTAAGAAGAGGAAAATTTGGCTGATACAGGAGGACAGCCACCTGAAGATGGAGGCGAGGACCGGAGAGACGCTGCCACCGGCTGCCAGAAGCTGGAAGCAGCAAGGCCGATCCTCCTGCAGCCCCTTTGGAGGCAGCACGGCCCTGCTGATACGGTGATCTCAAACTTCTAGCCAACAGAACTGTGAGAAAGTCCACTGCTGTTGTTTAAAGCCTTCCAATTTGTGTACTTTGTTAGGGCAATCCTAGAAAACAAATAGAGATTCAAGTCTGGCAAATAATGACAAAACAACAATTTGCTGGATAGAATGATGATTAAAACGTAGGTTGGCCAGGCGCCGTGGCTCACGCCTGTAATCCCAGCACTTTGGGAGGCCAAGGCGGGCGGATCACCAGGTCAGGAGATCAAGACCATCCTGGCCAACATGGTGAAACCCTGTCTCTACTAAAAATACAAAAAAAATTAGCTGGGCATGGAGGTGCACGCCGGTAGTCCTAGCTACTTGGGAGACTGAGGCAGGAGAATTGCTTGAACCCAGGAGGCAGAGATTGCAATGAGCCAAGATTGCGCCACTGCCCTACAGCTTGGGTGATAGTGCGAGACTCCATCTCAAAACAAAACAAAACAAACAACAGAACAACAACAAAAAAAAAACTAGGTTAGAAAATGAACAAAGTGGGAGGGAGAGCATCAGGACAATAGCTAATGCATGCAGGGCTTAATACCTAGCTGATGGGTTGATAGGTGCAGCGGACCACCACAGCACGTGGTTACCTATGTAACAAACCTGCACATTCTGTATATGTACTGTATCCCAGAACTTAAAAGGGAAAAATTTTTAAAAAGACAAAATGAGCAGTGTCTACAGCATTCTGGACTGTGACCGCGTCACCAGCTTAAAGCCGTTACTAGTACTAAATGTAATAAACATTTCCCTTAATGTCCTCAGAAACACAGATGAGGGATACATCTTCACATGGCTCCTCAGAGCACTAAAATGATATCAAAACACTCTTCCCACAAGAAACACACAGGCAAAGGATTCTTCAGATAATAGGAATGATAGTGCGAGAAATAAATTAGAATAAACCATGCGGTTATTTCAAACATTTACTCCTGGAAAGATCGTAAGTTACACAGAGTCAATTTTAGGAATAACTTTTCCGTTTATAATGATTGTAATAATTGGAGGAATTAATAAAGTAAAATCATCAGAATAAGTTTGTCACCAAGCTGATTCTCATGGATGGTGTGGCGGATTTATAAACGCTTCTCTGTTACGGGCTGCTAAACAGAAGGAACCCTGTGAAAGTTGTGTCATCGTCCTCATCGGCGAACAGGCCATTGAACCTCTCTCCTCCTGTCACCTGCAGCCACACCTCATCCCCGAGCTTCAGCTGCAGGACAATGCCGCCCGAGGCCTGGTCCTCGGAGCTCATGTAAGCGTCTTTGGTGTGCAGTATTTTTATTCCATTTTTGACCAAAGACACCTGAACGTTCCTGGAGAAAACGGTGATGTGGTAGGTGAAGTAATAGACCCCGGCAATGTGGCAGGTGAACTTCCCCGTTGCTATGTCATAATGATTGAATTCGTTAAACAGGATCTTATCAAATTTAATGGGCACACCTGAAGAAGGAAACTTGCTCAGCACAGTGAGCCCCACAGTGAAAGCGCTTTTTGGCAAGACTAGAGTCTCACCGATTTTCCCTTTCTCTCCTCGATCCCCTTTCCAGCCTCTTATTCCCCGGACTCCTGGCTCACCCTGGGGCCCCATGGGTCCAGCCTCTCCCTTGGGTCCAGGCTTTCCAATAGGGCCCATGGGGCCCGGTAAACCAGTTGGGCCCAAAGGCCCCGTGTTGCCCCTTGGCCCCTCAGGACCAGTGGGACCCACGTCACCCTTATTCCCCTTCTGCCCCTGAGGCCCTGTCTCTCCTCGGAGGCCTTTCTCTCCCATGGGGCCTGCAAGCCCCTTGGGCCCATGTTTTCCTGGTGATCCTCTTGAGCCTTGATCACCTTTGACGCCTTTTGCTTCAACTTTTCCATCTGCTCCTAAATAAACAGCAAATAGAGATGGTTTGTGAAAGATTCCCTTTTGAACAACTTTGTTTTTTCTATAATTGAGCTCACAAATGAAACAAAGTAGTGCACAGGTTCAGTATATGCCCAGAGTTTAAAATTCAGTTATTCCGCTGGGTGTGGTGGCTCACGCCTATAATCCCAACACTTTGGGAGGCCAAGAGAGGCAGATCACCTGAGGTCAGGAGTTTACAACCAGCCTGGCCAACATGGTGAAACCCCGTCTCTACTAAAAATACAAAAATTAGCCAGGTATGGTGGTGCACACCTGTAATCCCAGCTACTTAGGAGGCTGAGGCAGGAGAATTGCTTGAATCCAACAGGTGGAGGTTGCAGTGAGCCGAGATCATGCCATTGCACTCCAGCCTGGGTGATAGAGTGAGAATCAGTCTCAAAAAAAAAAAAAAAAAGTTCAATTACTCCATCTGGCTACGGTGGCTCACACCTATAATCTCAGCACCTTGGGAGACGAGGCAGGAGGATTGTCTGCAGCCAAGAGTTCAAGACCAACCTGGCCAACATAGCAATACCCTGTCTCTAAATCAATAAATAAAATTCAATTATTCCAGCCTGTAATCCTAGCACTTTGAGAGGCCAAGTTAGGCAGACTACCTGAGTCCGGGAATTCAACATCAGCTCAGGCAACATGACAAAACCTCATCTCTGCAAAAAAATACAAAAATTAGCCAGGCGTGATGGCACACAACTGTAGTCCCAGCTACTCGGGAGGCTGAGGTGGGAGGATTGCTCGAGCTCAGGAGGTTGAGGCTGCAATGAGCCGTGAACAAACCACTGCACTCTAGCCTGGGCAACAGAGTGAGACCCTGTCTCAATCAATCAATCAATCACTGTCAATTACTCCAATTACACACGTGTGTGCACATGGACACACAACGTAGCCCATCACACCTTTTGACTACTGTCTACTAAATTAGTATCAGGGCTCACGTTAGAAATTACAACTCTACCATGTAAGTCTACCATGCTGACTGTTAAATAATGTCAATCCGTGAGCAGAGACAGGCAGATTAACTAACATTCAACACTAGTCATCTGACATCCTCTCAAAATCTCCCCCCGGAAGGAACATAAAATAAAGGCTGCATCCAGCCACCCATTGCCCTCCCCTGCCCAACCCAGCCCCAACCCCTCCATCCCACCAGCAATTCATCATTCTTGCTGCTTCCTTGCACCCCACCCATACGGAAAAGCCATGGTCTCAAGTGTGGGCTCTGAGGTCAAATGCCAGCTTTCCATTCTGTCCCCACCACATATGCACACAGGACATCAGGCGAGCTAGTGAGCATCCCAGGCCTCTGTTCCCTCACCTATGGAACTGGGATAATAAGGCTGCCTAGTGTCTCGGGATATTGCATTCAGTGAGTCAGTACATGAAAAGCACAAAGTGAAGATTACATGAGCTTGCTGCTATGACTACCTCCCAACCTGTCGGCTGCCACAGTCCTCCCTACCCTTCAGGGACCAGTTCTAGTGCCACCTCCTCCATGCAGTGCTGCCAGATGCACCAAGGCAAAAACTCAACCTCACTCCTCGGAGCTCATCCACTGAAGCAAGGTTCAAGGTTCAGCAAACTATAGCCACAGGCCAAATTCAGCCTCCCTCCCACAAGCTAAACAAACATGGTTTATGTGGGGGTTTTTTGGTTTTGTTTTTCTGAGGTTTTGCTTGTTTGTTTGAGACAGGGTCCCCTGCTCCATTACCCAGGCTGGAGTGCCCTGACGAGATCATGGCTCACA